TCCAGTATGATTATGTCTGATCATTATCAGATTACATTTCAAAGACTAATATTTTCATACATTCATTCTGCTTTCCACCAATATTCATTCGATACACCTTATATGACCAAGGCTGTGAAAGGTACAGTGAAATGTTAAGACAGCTCCTGTGTTAAGAGGGTTGTAAGTGTAGCAGGGGTGACTAAACATAATAGCTCAATAAAAATGACATTTGAATAGTGATTTACAACCTTCAAAGCATGAACTATTGTGATAGTCACACTTTATGAGAGTAGCTGGGCAGATATTACTATTCCTAATATGCAGATGTAGAAGCTGAGCCTCATTCTTTCCCAACTTTACTCTGATAGTCAGTACAATAGTTGGGACATGAACCCAATATTTTGTGCTGCCACTCTGCCAAAAGGAGCATAAATGTGTACAAAGGGGTAATTTCAATAACATGTATCATAAATTGTTACAAGTTTTTGAGAAGAAGAATTTCTAGCTGGAGAGATCAAAGACAGCTTCTTGGAGGGGGAGGACATTGGGGATGGATTTCCAAGTGCATCCTAATTGGTGACTGCAGTCTCCAGTGTATGACCTCACATTGGTTATGAGGAGATTCTCCTGCTGAAGAGTTTCCCCAGGGCAACCTTCATGTCCTGATTTCTCAGACTATAGATGAAAGGATTTAACGTTGGGGTCACTGCGATGTACATCACAGTTATCACTGCATCCTTTAGGCTGTAACTAGTCAGAGGGCGGAAATACATGCCCATGACTGTCCCATAATACAAAGAAACAACTGTGAGGTGGGAACCACAGGTGGAGAAGGCTTTACGCACACCTTTGGTGGATGGAAACTGTAAGACTGTGGAAAAGACCCAAACATAGGAGATGGTGATGCACAGTAATGGCACAGAAAACACACCAACCCCTAGGTACATCATCTTCACATTAAATTGGATGTCAGAACAGGACAGCTTGAGCAAAGGGACAATGTCACAGTAGAAGTTGGCCACTTTCTGGTTTCCACAGAAGGACAACTTAGCTGCGAGCAGAGTGTGAGGGAGGGCATTAGCACTTCCAACCACCCAAGACCCAAAAACTAACAGGACACAAGACCGTAGGCTCATAATTGTTGTGTAATGGAGCGGGTGGCTGATGGCCACAGCACGATCATATGCCATTGCTGCCAAGATATAGCTATCTGTGTTACCCAAGGCAATCATGAAATACATCTGTGTTAGGCATCCCCCAAAGGAGATGGCTTTGCTGTGCAAGAGGTAGTTCACCAGTGTCTTAGGGATTGTTACAGAGGAGAAGAAGATATCAACAAAGGAGAGGTTGGCAAGGAGAAAATACATGGGGTTATGAAGGCTAACGTCAGAGTGAATAGCCAAGATGATGAGCAGGTTACCAATCAACGTGATGGGGTAAACGAATAAGAAGAGGATGAAGAAGAATTCTTCCTGTTTCTGCTGGCTGGTAACTCCCAGGAGGATGAAATCCAGGGTAGAGGATTGGTTTTCTTGCCTCATGGCTCTTAGGTTCTAACAGGGGAGTGGAAAGAAGAAAGGGGAGAGAAACCCAGAATTATTAGTGAACTTACTGTGTAATATCTTCTTTATCTACCACATTTGATTACCTGTGTTTATACCTAGCTGTACTAAACCGAGAGATAGCCGATATTTGGGGGAAAATAATCCCTGTTCATCAGTTTGACTAATTGTCAGATAGTGATTGATAGTTATGTCTGAGAAGTGAGCAGTATGAGTCAGAGGTACCCATCCTTCCCGATCACAGCACTATCACCCAAACACCAAGGATTTAATAACTTATCAAATAATTACATTTCAATTTACATGTGCTAGATACTCTGTGAGATCTCATGGAAAAATCGCGACCCTGTGATAAACACAGTTTTTTTATCCATTCTTTCAACATATATGACAGTCTCTGCTCTCAGGGACCTTATAACTTAATGGAGAAAGAAGATTTGCACACTAATTTCACTACACATGATAAAGAAAGGACAGCATTTTGGAGTACTTGAAGTCCAGCACAAAGAATATGTTGTACAAGGAAGATCCTGGACAATTAGAAATTGTCCCACTGAATAATGTCAGAGTGATCCCAGAGCCCAGGTGGTATCAGGTGTCTATACTTGTCTTAGAAGATTGTAAATCAGAGTGACAACTGGGAATAAGTCCCAGCAAAGCAAATCCAGTGAAATTCCTCCCCAGGTGTTCCATTTTCAAAGTACACTTTTACTATCTCTTTTCCAAACCTTTAAGTATATATAAGCACAATGCTTATCTCTTCGGTTTTCCCTTCCTCTGCTTCATTATTTATTTTGGTGACTCACGCAACTCCATAGTGGCTTCAGCTACTGCTCAGTAGATTCTCAGGTGTGCCTCTGTAGGCTTGGTCTCTTTCCTATATTTCCACATTTTTCATACTGTAACATGTCTAAGCAAACCCGGTATGCTGCATATCCAACCTAAGTAGTTTGCAAGTTTTTTTGAGGAGGAAAACCATATCTTGTTTATTTTTATCTCCTCCAGAGAGATTATTGTGTATTATTGTTCATTTTATGCACCAATAAGTTTGCATTCAAAATTTATTTAATTGTTTCCAGGTTTATTTTATGGGTTCCCCACATGTGGGGTGCTCACAGGTGCACTCATCCAGTTTATCCCTCACCTCCACATCTGATCTTGTTGCTTCTTCATTTGAAATAATTCTTACATAACTTTTCTACTTATTGTCTCAGCGCTTTAGTTTTGACCACCATCATTTTCTGCCTCAAACATTGTAATGCTCCCTTAACTGCTTGACCACTGGTTCCCTCCTCTTTGGTCCGTCTTGCACTTTGTGACCATACTTGTGGCAGAGACTACCAGCTGCTCACTCAAATCCACATTCCTTTCTTCGTGGGCACCCAGCTCGACTACATTTCCCAGGCTCCCTTGCACTCAGATGTCATCATGTGACTGAGTTCTAGGCAAACATCCATGTGTTCCAGTTCTGGGCTTTCTCCACACTCTCTTTCCCTGTGGGCCAACTGAATGCAAATGGCCAGGAGACTAAATGGAATGGTGGAGTCGTATGTTGGAAGGAGCCTGTGTCCCTAGTTCTCCACATCCAGGAGAGCCACCATCCACCAAGAAGTCACCTACTGGGATTGTTACATAGGAGAGAAATAAACTTTTATTCTGTTTACACCATTACACATTTTGTGATCTATTTGTTACTGTAGTCTGGGATATCCTAAGTAATTCACTAATTTTTCTAAAGAACTTCTACGCAACAGTTAATTCAATTTATAATTAGTTCAATCACCAATTCTCAGTGTCCCGTATAGTATACATGTGAATTATATGCTAGGACTGGGGATGCAGATCTAATTAACTTTCCCCCAAATGTGATGTGTTTGCTCATCTCTGCACCTAAAGGGATTTAGTTTTCTCTCTTGAAATGCCTTTTCTTAGCTTCACACAGAATCATAATATGTCAGGGTTAGAAGAGTTCAGTAAAGTTGGAGGGCTCAGAGACTATGGTTAGTTGAGATGGTATGGAAGTGTAAGATTTCAGTGGGCACCTCTTGGCAACATGGCAGTTTAAGCCGAAGTTGACAGGTCCTGTTGCTATTAAAACACATAGAAATTCTAGATAAAATATGAATATAAAACAAAACAAAACAAAACAAAACACATGTAGCCAAGCTTAAAATAAAGAAATGAAATACCTAGGCATGAGAAACAAAAGAAAACTCAGAGCAAGTATTGTAAATGATAACTGTTGCTTTGGTTACCCTTTGGCGTTTTCAACCAGGAATTAGGCCCTAAGGGCTGGAGTCTGGGGCGTTAACGCCTCTTTGGTACAAGAGATGTAGCCACGGGTCCGCATGAAGTAGGAAGATTAACATGAGCCCTATGTGTAAAACACTTGAAGTGTTGGCCTCTTCATGAAAAGAGCACTACAAAAAAATTCTGGCATATAAGAATTGGAAAGGAAAGAGCAAAATGGAGCAAATTCACAGAAATTACGGTTGTCTACAATGAAAACCCAAGGGAATCTATAGATAAACTAATATATTTTGGGAAGTTTATTGGATATAAATCAAATTAAAAACAATCAATATTGTTCCTGTACTTAAGGAATAAATAATAAAAGTAATAAATTAGAAATTACATGGTTTTTAAAAAAAAGCCCCGTTCACAATAGAAGAGAAATTTTAGATAATCTAAAGTAATTCCAACAAAGACCTTCAAAGACTGGTATCAAATATTACAAAAGTTTACTCAAGGAAAAAAATACCTAAAATAATGTGGAGATAAGCACTGTTAATGGAAAGACTCAATGTGGTAAAAATGTCAATTCTCCTCCAATTAATCTATGAATTTGGTGCAATCCAATCAAAATACTACAGTTTTCTTTTAAACATGGAGCTTAGGAACTAATCCTAAAATTCATGTAAAAGAATGAGGAGCCAACAAGAGCTAAGTCAATTTCAGAAAAAAAGAATAAGGAGAAAGGAATTACCTCGTCATGTATCAAAATGATTTATTATGGTAATTTGAACAGTGGAGTCATACTGGCATAGGGACTAAAAAATAGATCCATGTAACAGACTAGAGAGCCCAGAACAGACCAAGCATCGATTAGACATTGTTGTATAACAGAGGTTGGTTTAGTTCTAGGCAGGAAAGGGATAGACTGAGTCTCTAGTAAAGAATGATGGGGTAATTGGATACCTATTTATAAAAAGTAATACTGAAAAATAACATCTAAAGGATTAATTGAAAGAACAAAACTTAAAAATCTTAGAAGGAAAAAAAGGAAAATATGTTTATAATATAAAGGTAGGAATTAATTTCTTAAACCAGGCACAAAACACACAAAACATAGAGAAAATATTGTAAAACTTAATCACATTAAAATTGAAAACATTTGTATGAAAACATACCGTAAAAGAGGGAGAAAGACAAGCCATGAATTGAAAGAGGTATTTGCTACACACATATCTATTAAGCATTATTATTCAGAATACACAAGAGTCCTACACACTAGTAGGAAAGAGACCAAAAACCCAGTAGGACATAATGGGCAGCAGGCTAGAAAAGGCAAGTCATAGAAGGCGAAGCTGGTCTGGCCAATAAACAAAAGAAAAGATGTTCAACTAAATTAAAACAAAACTAATTTACTGTTCTTCATCTTGGAGCATGTAAAAGTATAAAAGTCTGACAGTTTCAAGTGCTGGGAAGAAACGGAAAAATTAGTATTGCCATTTGAAAAACACTTAGCTCATCTCTAGGAAAGCTGGAATTCATCCACCTGTGACCCAGCAATCGCACTTCCAGATTAGACCCTAGAGAAACTGTGATCATGAAGACATTCACAGGGATGTGTATTGTCATAAAAGAAACTTGGAAATGGCCTACCCACAGAGGAATGGATAAGTAAATTGTGCCAATTTCTTATTAATGAATGCTGTACAACAGTAAAAGTGAATGAGTTCAGGTGGACAAATTTAAAAAATAATAGGATGGAAAAAAGCAAGTTATTGGAAGATGTATTTGATATCACACAATATATACACATTTTAATACAAAAATTAATACACATGTATGTAATAAAAGTATAAATCTTGACTGGGAGTATACTATCAACTCTAAAATTACAGTTATCTCTGGAGTGAGAGGGAGAAAATTGAGATTTAAATGGCAAGACAGAGAGTTTCAAATGTATCTGTAATGGTTATTTCTTTAAAAAAATTGGGTGCAAATATGACCAAATGTTACATTTGTTACATCTGGATGATGAGTCTTTGTTATGTTGTTCTCGTTGTCATTCTGATGTTTTAACAATATTAAAATAAACAAATTTAATTTAACATAAAAATTTCACATGGTGGATGATAATTGGGTCTAGAGTGTGTCCACAGAGCTGGGTGGCTCCCAGTCCATTTTTCAGTGAATGTAGGAGACAGAGAGTGTTCCTTGTGAAAAGGTTGAAAATAGATGGAAGTTATTTCCACTGGGAAGAGGAATCCAGGGGCCCTACACGATGCTCATCCAGGTTTCCTTACAGAGACATCTGCTTACTGGACCGAAAATTATATTTATAAAATGAAAATGTGATTGTGTCTGTCTTTTTAAAGCCACTCATTGTCTACCCATCACCTAACAGATGATGTTCAACTTCCTTATCATGGAGAAAAACTCAAAGGCAAATTGTTCAGACAACGGAGGACAACTTCGGGCAGAAATGTGTTAAATGTCTTTATCAGGTGCTGGGGGTCCAAGCAGGGGAATAGGAAGAATTCAACAGGACAAGAAGTTTTGGGTTACATTGTGCAGGGTTTTGACCAAAACAAGTAATTTGTACTTTATGCATTAGGTATCAAGAGAGTATAGTGGATATGAGCTGCACCAACATTTTCTGGTAACAGAGATATGCAGCCTTTTGTTTAATATAAACATAGATATTGAGCATATATATTAAATGACTGATTAATGAGACAACATTTTGAATG